CGCAATAAAATAGAATGATCAACTTTATCAAAGGCTTTGGCAAAGTCTGTGTACACTACATCCATCTGCCCTCCCTGATGGGTGACCACTGAGGTATTTGTCATAAAACAAGCCAAGTTTGTGTCGATGGATCTATTTCGATAGAAACCATGCTGAGACTGCGAAATGGCTTCTTTAACGTGCCAGAACATTTTTTCATAAATAATATTTTCAAATATTTTAGCTACAGCATTAAGAATTGCTATAGGCCTATAGTTAGAAATCAAATCTTTTCTACCTTTTTTAAAAATTGGTGTGAGTTTAGCTTCCTTTAGCCGTTCGGGAAATACAGATGTTTTCAATGAAGTTTGGAAAATGACCATTAGCGGATATAGCAGGTATTCTTTACATGCCTTAATTACGTAACAAGGTATATTATCCGTACCGGAAGATTTTTTTGGTTTAAGTTTACCAAATGCATTTTCCATATCTGCTAACGTTATGTGTGAGAGAGAAAGAATATCCGAGTTTTTTGTATTTGTTTCATAGTCGTTACTATTGTTATCAGACCGAGTGTAAACAGACGAGAAGTAATCGGCAAATGCCTCAGCTATTCTCTCAGGATCATTTGTTGTTCCATCGGTAAGATTAAATGTAGTTGTTGATTCGTTCTGTTTTTTTGAATTAACAAAGTTCCAAAAATAGGCTGGATTTTCCACTAGCTTGTTCTCGACTTCTGCAATATATTTTTTATGAGCGTTTTTTATGTCTACTTTCAGTTCAGATCTAAGTCTTTTATAGTTATTTAAATAATAAGAAGAAACATTTTTCTTTCTTCTACTATAATCTTTTTCTTTTAATTTATTTTTAATTTGTACTGAGAACCATGGAGGAAAATGCTTTCTATTACTTTTAATTCTAATTTTCGGAACGCATCGATCAAGTATACTATATATTATTGTATATAGATAGTCTACCTGATCATTAACGTTTATGAAATGACCTATGGGTGTCCAATCCGCATGATTAAATTCCTCACACATTTGATCGAAATTAGCAAGTTTAAAATTGTATTTATTTTCCAGGTGAGTTTCTTGAGACCTCCATTTGTGTCTCTTATTTAATAACACCTGGCAGTTTAGAGGGGGATGTTTTTTATCGATTGATACTAGCGGCAATGCTTCACCAATAGTTATTGGTATATCACAAATAGCCAAATCCAATGTTCTGTTATCTGAGTTTAGACAATTATTGTATAATTTTAGATTATATATATCCATAAAGGAAAATATTATATTTATAATTTGATTTTGACTACAATTTTTAGTTTTAAAAGTTGTACCCGTAATTTGTGGAATATTAAAATCACCTAAAATTGCGTAATGTGTGTCGGTTTTAGTATTCATACTCACAAAATCGAATAGGTCAATATATTCATTGTACTTTTGGGTTGTAGAGTTAGGAGGAATATATACTGTGTTAAAAATTATGTTATTACCCATTATAACTGCTTTAACAAAAATTGTTTCTAAATCAGATTTTACATTAATTTCAAATGAATTATATTTTTTTAATAAGGCAATTAATACACCTCCACCAGATTTTTTCCCAGTTTTTTCCAGAGACCTATCCTTTCGATATACATTATAATCTTGATTGAATAATTCTGCATTATATATTCCATCATGCAACCAGGTTTCAGTTATAACCACCACATCATAATTTTCAGCCAATACGTTTTGATAAAATTCTGAAGTTTTCGTACGTAGGCCCCTACAATTTTGATAATAAATATTAAGATTCATTGTGAAAATATCCAGCAAATGTATACACAGAATAAAATAATTTTATTTCCTATAGAAGCAATCAAAAATAAAGGCAATCTTATTTATAAATCAAAATAGCTTAAAATAATAATAGTACTGGAGCCGAGCTCCCAGAAATGAAATTATTTACGATTTTTAACAAAGTTTTAAACAACACAGGTTTATGACAAATAATGAATTAGTAATAGTTGTTATAAAACTAATTAGATTGAGAAAATGTAAATGAACGAAGACACGTTTTTTTTTGATTCGTTTTCAGCGCTTTCAAGATTATCTAGGGTCCTCTTTTTTTCTTCCTTCCGAGAGGTACTTGAAGTATTTGAAGAGGTACTTCCCCTTCTGCTATCGATGCCGACTAGTTGATCAGTTGTATGCGGTATACCATTGATAATCAGGGTGTTGCCCTTAATCTTGACTGTATGACCCCGATCTCTTGCAATTTTTTGATTCATATACAAAATTTTTCTTTGTTGATAGTCCTCTTGAATGTAATCAAGTGCGATAAACACTCCCGTGCCTTTTAGTTTTCTTGCTTGGTTCAGTATATCAGTTTTAAATTTATTTGTTAAACACTCTACAAGTATGGGCGAAGGTTTTTCAGTATTGTTTAGACTAGGAAATCTATACGCGTCCCGAATATCTCTTCCTTCACAGATGATTCCCAGTTTTTGTTGTACTAGATTTAAAACTGCTGTGTATATATCTTCACCTTGAAGGTTATATACAATCAAATTATACTTTTTGATCTTCCTCTCAGAAATCAATAGTCTGTCTTTTAGTTTTATTGTTTCAGCTTTTAACTCCTGATTTTCCTTTTTAAGATTTTCCATATGACTATCTGTGTGAGCCTTGTAATTTTTTACTTCTTCTTTCAAACTATCAAACTGAAGGACTAGATTATCGTTTTGATATTTTATAGCTTTATTTTGGGACAGTATATCTTCTAATATTTTTATTATTTCTTGCGAATTTACGTTTTCCATTTTTATTTAGGTTTAAGCCCATATACTATTTTGTAAATAAACAGCTACTTTTTGCCACCTTTAACTGGCGATGGCTGACGATAAATATTACATTTATACTACCAGAATTATAATGGAAAATATTTCATATTCAGCTTATTATTCATAATTTTCCGAGATTATTATTAAGAATTTTTTTACGAACAAGTAGGTATAAGTAGAATGTCTGTACTCACAGTTTAACCACTATTTAACTATGAATATAGGAGCACTTTAAAATACGTGTTCACTCTTGGAATTTATACGTTCTTAGCTTATCGTAACTATCGTTTACAATTTGCTTTCTTGGATCATCTAGGTAGTTACTAAAGACCGACCAGTTTGCTTTATTTATATTCCAAATTTTATGGGACTTTGGGATTAATCCTGCAGATTCTACAGAACACTTTAAAAGGACCGGTAAATGATTTGATCCATGTGGGTCTTGAATTACTTCCCAGTCAAAAAGATGACTGACATTTTGAGAGCACTATTTCTTTGTCCTGGTCTTGTGATCAGAGTTGACTCTCCTGTATTTAGAAAAACTAGACCAGATATATTTAATGCCTCTAGTAAATTTTTACCTTCGGTATCTTCTGCTTCTGAGCATTGAAATCCCCACCAACAATACATGGCTTTGGTATGTTATTAAAAAAGTTACAAATTTGTTTACTGTAAGTTTAGATGACGGTTTAATATAAACTGAAACAATATGTAATTTTTTAAAATTCCCTATAGTAACACAAACACACGTAGCCATTATTTTTGGTATTATTGCCAATGGGATCTCTAAGTAAGATAAGTTATTTTTTATTAATAAGGCTACACCTGCTTTACCGTCATCCCTGTCCATTCGACAACAGTTATAACCAGCGAAATTATAATAAATGTTGGGTTTAAACCACGTTTCTGACAGTAAAGCTATGTTTACATTGTAATTATGTAGTAAATGTTCTAAATTTGCTTCATTTGCAACTGCTGATCTGCAATTCCATTGAACCAATGTGAAAAGTCTATTTATGTCTGCACACATAGTGTAATGTATGAAGAAACGGAAGTTATTTTTTGGTTATAATCTACTCTTAGTATTATATTAAAATAGGGTATTTTAGGGAAAGCAGATAACTAGTTTAAAGTGTATTCTGACCTTGTCGATATTGATTTTCTATGGTAAGTTGAATTGTAATTTAAAAAAATAATAATATTTAATGTGACCAAAACTGGTGGATGTTTGATGAGGTCGAGACTGAAGAGATGTTTCTTAATTTAGAGTTGATTGTATCTAAAATATCTTGTTCTTGTATATCGAATGAATTTTTGTTTTTAAGAGTATTGACAATAGTATTAATTATGTCTAAGACTAGGGAAGTGTTTAAAATATCTACACTATTTTGTGACGGGTTTACAAGTGGATTTAATGTTTTTGGTAAATTAGCGGAATATAATGAAGATTGTATATAATACCTCCTGGGGGAGAAGGGACATTAACAGGAGTAACAATTTGTTTATGTATGTTTAATATAGGATCAGGAGATTGTGGGCGAGCTCTTTTATTATCCCGATAAATTGTTTGTGTAAAATGGGTAGGTCTAGGAGATGAATTACAGTTAAAAAAGGGTCTAGATTGTGAAGAGCCATTTGAAGTGATTAAAGCGTAAGTCGCTTTAGGAGTTTTTCCACAAGCATCTTTATAAGAAAGGTTAGTTTGTGACATGAGCTTTTTAATTTATTTTTGTCGTGAGAATTATGGACATTCTTTTGTTGCATTGGTATAGTGAGCGACATTGCAATTAAAACATTGAGGGGGTATTTTTTTTTGAAAGAGTAAAACCAAATTTGGTAGATTTTCACACTTTTATTTTAAAATTAAAAATTTTTTTTTTTTTTTTTTTAAACAAACACTAACATGACATATGTTTCGAAGTACAACTTCTTTTTCAAATGTTTAAAAAAAAAAAAAAAAAAAATTTTTATTTTTAAAATAAAAGTGTGAAAATCTACCAAATTTGGTTTTACTCTTTCAAAATTAAATGGATTTTCATCAAGTAAAGGCCGAAACAATAAATAATTGAGGGGGTAGATTGACTTCAGGACAGATATCAGATTCATGGTTTTGTTTACATTTTACACATCTCTTGAAACTTTTACATTGTTTGCCCAAATGACCGTACCTAAAACAGTTATAGCAAAGTACCACCTTTTCGACATATGGAACTACTTCAAATATAACATGATTAATTTCTAAATACTTTGGCAGAGTTTGTGACTTAAAGGTAACTAAGACAGTCTGAGTGGGGACAAATTTTGTGGCATTATTTTCTGTTATTTTTCTAGAAAACCGTTTAGCAGAATCAACACTGAATTTGCAGTGCATGTCGTGTTCCCTTATGTTGTGTTTTAAATATTCATCTGAGTATTCTAGATCGACATATTTAATAATACCTCGCCGGTGGAGCATAAATCGGGGAATATAAACATTTAAAATATAATTTTTTAATTGATTAGAATTTATTAACGAATTGGCTGTTTTATAATCTTTGCATTTAACTCTAATTCTATTACGTCCAACTGAGTCGATATTTTTAATATGGTTGTCGAGATCTGGATGAGCGTTGTAAATAATCTCTCCTATTTTCATAGGTCTTAGTTGTCCTACAAAATTTTCTGAATTGTTTTCAATATAAACAGAATACGGACCTGAATCAGTTGGACTGAATAAGTATATTTCTCTCTTGTTGATTGAAGGAGAATTAATTGGTTTATCACCATTGATTTCTGAGATTTTATCAGTAACATTGGTTCCGTCTTTGCTAGTTGAATTTGTTGAATTTGCAATAAAATAACTATTAATAGAACTAATTTGACTTACATTTGCTTCATTTATATTTTTGATTACATTACCGCTCATAGTATCACTTATTTCTCTATCTTCTCTTAGGGTTTTGGTTGCTGGAATATATTCCATCTGCATTAAATTACTAATATCATTCATTATTTGATCATCACTTAGAACAACACAATTAGGAACTTCGAAAAGAGTTCCCGGGGAGAGTGCCTCCCCCATTGGAAAGACACTTCACTAATGCGACTACACTAGTATATGTTTAACTAATCAGAGAAGTAACAGATTTTCTGCCACAGCTAGCATTAGATTTCCGAGGCAGTAAATAGGTTTCTCTGCCGGTATATCGCGAAGTCGTACACAAAAATATCGCCTAATGGTGAATACCAAAAGCTCAAGATTCTCAATGGTAAAAAATGTTATTTTTGTAAGAGACTGTACACAACACATGTTAGCTTATATAGTATACGGATACGTTATTATTTCAAGTAAAATCCATCCGGCATTGTCGCAAATATATGAATAGTGGGCTATCAAGTGAATTTATGACTTCCTCATACTAATTTTTTAGTGTTCTAGTGCAATGTAAATCTGATATATTCCAATTAATAAAACATGTTTTTATTTTCTTTGTTATTCTAATTTAAACTATTAATGAAAATGCGTTATAATGTATTTGGATAATTGCTTCAGCCTAAATTACGATAACACAGAAGAGACCCAGCACTGAGTCTGTCAGGAAGAGGAGGAAACTGCAGAACACGTATTGTGCCATTGCAGAGGTCTAGCAAGACTGAAATTCCTTACACTTGGAGAAGAAAAGCCAACGGCAACTAGCTACGCCGGAGAATTACTTCCTAGTATATGGAGTCTACTACATAATGATTAGACAAGGTACTCTAACCAACGATTAAAGGATATCCACAATAGATCTGAAAAGATCGAGGTGGGGGAGGCTACATAACCCACAGTCCTAATTAAATTTTAATCCATACGAAGGGTTTGTTTCGGTTCACACAGAACCGTCGAATCCAGTTCTTAAATACAGTAGACGAATTAATTTTTCAAGAACACGTCTCGAGGTTATACCAACCTTTGTATTTTTGGTTTTAGACCATGCTCGACTTTTTATAAAAAACAACTTTTTTTCCTAAAATTAGTAATAAAAAGCTTTCCTATGCCACCAACTGTCTACGTAAATTGGCGGTATATGAAAACCTTTTTTACTATTAATATTGGGAAAAAAGTTATTCCTTATAAAAAGTCGAGCATGGTCTAAAACCTAAAATACAACCATCAGATATCAAATTTTATCAGTCGTATAAAAAATAAAGGTACTTTACTCTTGAGTAAAACTCATATTTTTTGACAAACCTCGTATACCACTGAAAAAAATTGATATTTGATGACTGTATTCTAGATTTTAGATAATGCAGAACTTTTTATAAAGAAAAATAAATTTAATTAAGTCCAAAAAAACTTTTTAAAAAACAAATTCAAAAAATATAAATTTTATTACTTCTTAGTACATTTAATTCTAAATTAAATCTGAACTGTTTTACATGAAATAAAGAAAAAATCGAATGGTCGTGAGAATGCAAGGTTGCATTCTCGTGGCATCATGTTACGCAGGGTTCACTGTACTGCAACCATTACTCCTCCGCCATTAGAGGGAAATTCTGGGGCTGGCAACAGGATTTTGAAGTTCCAAAGTTGGGGTTTCTTGACTTCTGCTCTGGATTTGGGAACTTGACTTCCTTTCCTATGAAATAATTTAAAGATTCCAAAAATTATAAAAATTGCAAGTATAACGTAAATTGAAATCGTCCAAGCACTAATTTGATTTGGAAGGATTATGTCCCAAATTTCACTTATTTTGTGTTTTTGAGCATCTAATATATTTTGAATGTTTTTAACGTCATCTATATTAATTGAGTCTAATTTAATCGGCACGAATTTAACTTTTGCGTCTATTATAAGTTTATTTTTAATGTTTGAGTTTGGAAGGTTAATTAATTTAAAGTATTTTTCATAATTTTGGTTATTAGGAATTTGGGTACCACTTATGTTTACGTCACAGTCCGCACTAAGTTTTAATACAAAGGTTCCTCGGAAGGGGATGTTTTCTTTATTGATTCCGCACTTTTAAATAGCTACAGTTTCTTTTGGGGTTGTGATGATCCAATGGTTCTTTTCCAGTTTTTTAATTCTTAATTTGTTCACAAGTCGTAACGTTGTTGAAATAGCGGAGCATTTGAATTTCGCATGGAGTTTCTGCTATAATTGTAACTGGACTGTTCTGGTTACACAAGTATTCATCTGGAGTAATTTCTTCACATTTTTCGTCGAATAATATGTCATTTAAAATGAGGTATCTGGTTTCTGGAATGATTACGTCAAAGGCATTTTTATTGGGGTAGGTAAGGCATAAATGTGATAATAACTGTAAATTTCGCTCTCTACTAAGGGTAATTCAAGAATAAAAATTATTTGGTATCCTTTACTGTAACTTCTAATTTCGATTATTTTCTCAAACAATAGAATATTTTCTAATTTTCCTTCAAATGGAAGTCTATTAACTTTTAATTGTTTACTAATTAATATTATTTCGGCTAGAAGCTCATGAGATTCAATTATTGAATTGTAAAATGTATCAGTTTAGAAAATGAAATGGCTACTTCAATCTTCTCTAAAATATTATAAATTAATTGATAAACTGGGATTATTTGTGAAATAACTGTATCGGTGACAAGGTAATGATAGTCAGAATTTTCAATTTTTTCTATTCTATTTAATAAGATTTGTTCGTTATGAGCCAGGGTACTCGTGCTATTTTTAAAGTGATTTATAGAATTTTGAAAAAGTGTAATTTGACTCGCAGCTAAATTTTTTAGTTTTGATTGGTTTTCTGAAAGTAGTGCTATTGCTTTATCGTACTTTTCAACATCATCTTGATCTAAATTGCCTGTTAAAGATCTAATAATTGAGCCAAGATTACTTATTTTTTGTTCTAAATGTTTTATTGATTACAAGCATTTTGAAATGCATCAATTGGCTTGGAATTTGTATAATTTCGGTATATTGATTGTTGTAAATTTTTAAAATTTGTTTTAATTGTTTCAAACTCTTTAACTATATCTGAAATATCAAATATTTGGATAAATGACCAAAAATCTATTTTATTTTGAGCATTACCTAATTTGTGAGGCAAAAGGCCAAGGTTATTATTAAGGTTATGAAATTTGGGATAGGTTACTCCGCCGCAGAGGTGGATGGATAACCTGTAACAAGTGGAGGTTGTTTTAATTTTTTTATATGGATTATTTCTTTTTTGTTTTTATTTCGTTTTTCGGTAATTTCTACTTTATTTCAGTCTAAGGGATTAGTGATTTCGTAGGTACCAATGAATTTATTATTTTTCTTAGTACGATATTGAGAATTTTGTTTAAATACTATCTGACCTAATTGATTTGTTTTCTAACGCATTAATTACTACTCGTGATAACGCATCGCAATTTGTATTTAAGGTTCCTTTTTTATATACAATATCATAATCGAATTCTTCTAAACGGAGTCTCCAACGCATTAATTTTGAGTTTGGTTCCTTAAGGTTAAATAACCAAATTAATGGTCTGTGGTCATAATATATGGTGAAACGCACATCCCATAAATAAAGACGAAAAGTTTTGCAAGCCCAAACTATGGCAAGCAATTCTCTTTCTATTGTACTATATTTTTGTTTGGATTCGTTTAGAGTCCTTGACGCTTAAGCGATTGGTTTATCGGAACCTACAGGACCTTGTGAAAGTACTGCACCTAAAGCTACACTAGATGCATCCGTGGCAAGTACAAAAGGTTTCGAAAAATCTGGATATTGGAGTATAGAGAATTGATTAACAAATGTTTACAGGTATTAAATTACGAAATAAAATTTTGATCATGTTTTACTTTAGAATTTTTCTTTAGACATAATGTTAGTGGTTTTGTTATTTTTGGAAAATGTTTATTATATTTCCGGTAATAACCTATTAAACCTAAAAACATTTAAATTCTTTTTGCGTATTCGGAATTGGGTAATTTTTTATGGCATTAATTTTATCTGGGTTAGGCTTAACGCCTTCGGGTGTAATAATGTGACCTTAGTATGCGACTTCCTTGCGAAGAAACTCGCACTTTTCTAATTGAACTTTAAAATTGGATTGCCTTAAACGATCAAAAATAGATTTTAATCTTTCTATGTGTTCTTGAAGAGATGTCGAAAAATTACTATGTCGTCTAAATAAACTAAGCAAATTTCGTTTTGTAATCCTCTTAATATATTGTCCATCACTCTCTGAAAAGTTGAGGGTGAGTTGCGAAGTCCAAAGGGCATTCTTTTAAATTCGTAGTGTCCGTTTTGTGTCGAAAAAGCTGTTTTAGATATGTCGTCTTCGTGCATTTGGATTTGGTGGAATCCGCTTGCAAGGTCAAGTGTTGTGAAATATTGGCTTTTGCCTAGTTTGTCTAAAATTTCTGTTATGTTTGGTAAGGGGTATTTATCGGGTATAGTTTTTTTTGTTAAGTTTTCTATAGTCAATAACTAAGTGGAAATTTCTTTTTCCTGATTTATTAGGACGTTTAGGAACAATCCAAATAGGGGAAGAAAATTGAGATTTTGAGGGTTGAATCGGGTCGTTGGTGTAGCGGTCTGACGCGCTCATATTCATTTATAGGCAAGTTTATGAGTCCGAGACTGCTGGGCTTCGAATCCCAGACCAGACCATGTGGATTTTTAATTAAATTGCATGGTTCGGTTTAGGATTTGATGTGTGCCGTATTAATAGAAAATTCAATTTCTATTGATATGACATGCAGATTATAAAATCGCCATACATTATCGTCTCGATGATGATGGGTGAGGTTTTACGGGTTTTCCTCACCTGTAAGTCAAATGGAACCATCAATCATCCTTAAGTCGCCCCGGAGCGCCACGGCAAATAATAATAATAATATCCGTCCCTTCCCCTACACAAGTCGTTCAGTCGACTTCAGGGGTTGAAATTCACTCGTAAGGGGGTGAATTAGAAAGAGTATTATTATTATTATATTATTATTATTATTATAATGATACCTTGGTCTAAAAT